CTTTCCTACACTCGGCCGGCCTTCCACTCACACTTTGAATTTTCTGGGGCTTGCAGTCTCCGCTTGCCCCAGGGGTTAGGTCCCAGCAGAGCTTGCAGGTTCCGCTTGCCCCTCCCTACACCCCAATCCCGTTCCCCTCGCGCCTCGCCTCCCTGACCCCCTTGCCAGCGAAGACTATGAGCACTCCTGGGTCGACGTCGAGGGGACCCTAGCACTAGACGCTCCTGGGACCTTCCCCCGTCCCTGTCTCAGTGCCGTCCACAAGATTTGGTCAGCAGGGCTCACCCCGGAACCCCCTGCCCCTCCGCTCCCTGACTATCCCCCTTCCCCAGTGAGAATAGCTTCTGCGTGAGGGCTGAGTGTAAGTGAGTGGTGGGAGAATTCCCCCTTGCCTCCTAGCCGCTCCGCCCACCAGGGAATGGCTTCGGCTAAGGGATGCGTGAGTGTATTACTCTAGCTGCCTCGCCCGCCCGCGCAGACTACCTGCCCCTGTGCTCTCCGGCAGCAGGTTGACGACCTCCCTTCTCAGGAACCTCCTGAGCCGAGACTGAGCCGCGACAACTAGAGCCTTTCAGCACGTCCTGTGTCACAGACCCTGGGAAGCAAGGGCCCTTCGCTGACCGCCTGGTGCCGGTAGGGCCTGGGGATCCCCAATTCCAATTCCCCGGTCAGGTCGTCTGAGTACCCAAGTGGGGGGGGTGTGTTCACTCACACCTAACCTAGGCACCCCCACACACCACCCCGGGAGTTACTTAGATTGCCTGCGTGTGACTCTCACTCACCTAGGCTTTCCACACGCCCGGAGCAGCCTAGGCCGTTTAGCCCTTTTCAGTAGAGGGGCCTACCCCTATGTGCACCACTCACTCTCTTAGGTACCCTCTGCGCACTCAGAGGGGGGGCTTTTATCCCCAGGAGATGCCTCACTCGTTTCTCTGGGCCCAAGCTGTGATAAACGGGCGATGAGACCAGCTCCTTTTAAAAAGGCCTTTATTAAACAGGACAGCTCTGGGGTGGGGGCCCCAAGGGGTTGCGCACACCGCCACTGCTCCCACTGGACACCACAGAAGAGGAGGATCTGTGCAGCTTTGTCACTAGGGCAGAGCTGGGCCTTCCTTCCTCACAGGAGTCCCCAGGAAAACTCATTCTTTAGGGCTTGTAGTCTAGGCTGTCATCCCAGTCGAGTCTCCTCAAGGTTATGTCGGCCTCTGGAAAGAAGTCAGGGGACTCCTCTGGGTCTTCCTTGTTAGATGGTGCTGGTTTTATTCCTTCCCTTCTGCGTGGCTCGTTGTTTCGGGGCTTTTTCCAGTCTGGGTGCATCCCATAAGTCTCTGGTCTCTCTTGTTTGCATAAAAGTCCTTATGTCATCTTCCTCCTCAGGACTATACAGCAACTCGGGGCAGGGATACAATTACCATGTGGGAGTCTAGGAGCAGTGGGGGCAGTGCCTGGCTGAACAAGGAACAAGAAATACGGGCTACAGCAATTTGCGGCAGGGGTACAAGGTAAGTAAACCTGGGACAGGGGTACAAGGTAAGTAAGGAGTTTACAAACAGCAACTGTAACATATTATTCTTAACACAGGGATCCCTCGCAGTCCCTCGAAGTCTCACGCAGTTTTACCTGAAGGCATGG